ACCTTAATACTAAACCTATAAATATATGCACATAGATCTATTTCCCATCCTCATATATAAATATATTTACATATGTACATGCCTTGATTTAGACCTCTATAAATGCCCTTTGAAGAGGCCCATTTTCTTTGCTCGTACCTGGGTGTCAAAGACATTATTCAACAAAATTCCATACTGGTGAGATAGACAGTCAGAAAGCCACCGACAATCATGGATAACCTAAGGAATTCAAACATGGAGAAACTAATTAGGATGCCAATCTGTCATGGATAATTTAAAGAATTTGAAGATGGGAACAGACTAATTAAGACTTGATTGTTAATCTCACCAGCAGAAGAATCAATTTACACACTCACCTTCAAAATTCTCTTGTCTTCTAATACCATCTTCAGTCCATTGTTGAAAGCACGGCTTCCCAGAAGGAAGATGTCAAACAGGTAAACGCGGCTCTTTGTGGCCACCTACAATAGACCATGCAGTGACATGCACCAGAGCATATTTAAGAACTGGGGGGGGGGGTTTGAGAAGATTGGAGGACCATAAATTAGACTCTTGTGTCAACAATACTCCGATGGAACAGGATCAGGACTCCCCAACTCTGGCCTCCAACCGCCTCTCCAGGTGCAAACTTTGGGACCCTCCTGACAGCCGTCTTGTTTCCAGGAGCAGCCAACATCATTTTTTATGGTTGATTCCTAATTGTTAAACCAATCATGAGTGCCCAAACCTGTCTGAATGATTCTACTGAAGTGGAGGTTGCCATCAATTGCCTAGTCAACTAATGACTGTGGGCTTCCTACACTTACCTCTCTCTGGGCTTCTATTTCAACCATAACTATGTGGTCCGAGAAGACGAGGGCCACTTCTTTCAAGAGTTGGCGAAGGAGAAGCACAAAAGTACCCAGTGTCTCTTGAAGACACAAGCCAGCACTCTGCTGTGACCACTTCCAGGACATGGAGACGAGTGCAGTGGAACCCTGGATATCATGGAAGCTGCCCGTGGCCCTACAGAAGACCTGAACCAAATCCAATGACTCTCCATGCTGTAGGTTCTATCTCTGTGGCTCTCCTTGTGAGGATGGTCCAGGACCAGCAACATTTTATCCCGTTGTCCCGAGGGTCCTTATGAGTCGGAACTGACTCAACAGTACCTCACATGTGAAGATGCATGCCCAGGGGTTCTGAAAAGCTCATGAGCAGCCATCTAAAGGGCAACTATTGGTCTCTACCTGTCCAGAGGAAAGAGGAATGATGAAAATCAAAGACGCATGATGTCAACTAATCCAATGGATCATGCAAACACCAGTCCCTAAGACACTTGAGGCCAGAACAAGATGGTACCAGGTTACCACTACAAACTACTCTGAAAGGCTTCACACGAGAAGGTCTTGAAGAAAGTAAGAGAAAAATGTGTAACAAAATTCCAAACCATAAAAAAAAAAAAATAGGCTTACTGGTCAGATGAAGATCGATGGCACTCGTGAAACAACAACCCTTCCTCACCCTTCAGGTCTGGAAATGAACTCGCCCCTATGGCTCAAGTTTAAGGCCAATGACTACTATTGTTGAGTTGGTTGCAACTCAGAGAGCATACATAGAACAGAACTACGCACCGCCCAGTCCTGGGCCAGCCTCACAATGGTTATGCTGGAGCGCACTGGTGCAGCCACTGGGTCAATCCATCTCATTGATGCTCTTCCTCTGGCGCTCGACTTCCATGTTACCAAGCATGATGCCCTTTTCCAGGACTGGCCTCTCCTGACAACATGTGCAAAGTCTTACCACCCTGCTTCTATGATGCATTCTAGCTGTGCTTCTTCCAAGACAGACTTGTTTGCTTTTCTGGCCCTCCTTGCATTACTCTTCACCCCTAACACAAAGATAGCAATTCTTCCTTGGTCTTCAACAGCCAAGGTCCAGCTTTCACATACCGCTGAGACCACTGACAATGCCACGGCTTGGGTCACGTATACCTTTGATTCCTCAAACGAACATTGTCCTCGCTCCTCCACACTTTAAGCAGGTTTTATGTTAGGCTGCAGATTTGCCAATTCAATACCTTGTTTAATTTCTTGACTGCAGCTACCATGAGCACTGACTGGGCATCCAAGCAAGATGAAACCCTTGATGACAATCTTATCTCTGTTTATCATGCTGGTAATACTCCAGTTGCGAAGATTTTGGTTTTCTTTACAGTGAGTTGCAATCCATATTGAAGGCTGCAATCTTTGATCGTCACCAGCAAGTGCTTCAAGTCCTCTTCACTTTTAGCAAGCCTTCCCACCATCCTGAATCTGTGTTTTTCTTCATATCGTCCAGGTTCTTAGATTATTTGGTAAACATACAGATTGAATAAGTAAAAGTATGGTAAAAGGATACAACCCTGATGCACACCATTCCTGATTTTAAACCACAGCATTCCCTTGTTCTTTTTCAACAACTGGCTCTTTGTGGATGTGCAGGTTCTACATGAGCACAATTGATGGTGTTGTTCTATACTTTGTACATTCTATTGGGTTACCTTTCTTTGGAATGGGTACAAATATGGACCTCTTCCAGTCAGTTGGTCAAGTAGCTGTCTTCCAATGGCAATATGAATTGTTAAATGGAAAATGGATCAACTGATATACTCTGTAAATTGTCACCTAATTCACAGTAAAAAGTTGGAAAAAGGAAAAAGAAAAGTGTGCATTCACCAGAGCAACCTCTGGCCACCGTGGCGGTCCCCAGACTTGGGGAGATGAATGTCTCTTCAAAAGGCTCATCATCGAGTAAGAACGTGGACAGCTAGGAGCTTCCTTAACCCAACAGCCTTTGAGGAATTCCACAGCGTTCCCCTGAGCATCCTCCTCCAGCCAAGAGGCAAATTTTTAATTACTTGGGAGCCCTTTCCCAAGTCAAGTGGAAACAATAAAGCTTCTTTTTTTTTTGCAGAAAAAAATGTGACAAAATAAGATTCTTACTTTGAAAGCAAAAATAAGCCCACAAACATAAGGAACATTTACGCTTTTTTCCCCCCACAGGTCTAAAGAAAGCAGTGATTCCCCTTTTTGCTTTCTCCAATCACAGCTTTGCGGTTTAATTAATCTCACCAACAGCACCCCTGGAGGTGCAGTGGGCTAAGCATCCACCTAACTGCAACCACAAAGGTGCGAACCATCATTTGTTCCTTGGGAAGCTGTCTGCTCCCATCAAGCTTCACAAGTCTCAGAAATCCCCAGGACATTTCTACTCAGTTCTCTAAGATTGCTACAGGTGGGAATCAACTGAATGGCAGTGGTTTTTTAGTAGGAAAACAGATGTCCCCCCTACACACACACCAGTCGCAGCCCCCTCTTCTAGTTCCAAGGCCTTCCCTTTTGGGCTATTTTCCACGTATTTTTTCACTCCCCCGAAGTGGCCATTTTTCAGTTGGCCCTGTGCGGCCTTGCGCACTTTCCAGAGACAGCGTGGACTCTCGGAGTCTGTTTACCCGAACTTCCTCTTTCCTCCTAACAGTGACTTGGACTTACAAAAGGGCTTCTACCGCGTGAATTCTTTCAGCGTTGAGAAGCAAGAACCAGGGAAAGCCAGCCCAGAAACCTAACGTACACATACAGGGGCTATGATTTCGTCCAAAGAGAAATGGAATTCCTGCACGTGTAACAGCATGCAGAATCTTGAAAACACTACTCCAAGTAAAAGAAATGAGACATAAAAGAACAACTACTATATGACACCACTTAAAGCGAATATCTAAAATAGGCAAATGGACAGAGACAAAAACATATTCGCAGTCACCAGGGACGAATGGGAATTATTCTTTTTGGGGTCATGAGTTGCTGCTATTCGGGTGACAAAAGACTCTTGGAAATAGACTGTCGTGTCTGTTAGTTTACAAGACAGACAATGTGAACAATGTCACTAAGCCGTACACTTTAAAGTGGTTAAGATGGCAGACCTTTGCATATATCTGTTTTATCATAAACAATTTAAGAATGAATCTACCCATGCATCTATAATTACTTCAAAAGTGTAATTCTTTCTCTTGCCTGAAGCCAACATAGTTTCCCATGACGACACACATTAGCGCCTTCCACAGCCACACTCAGGACACTTTGCTTCTTGAAGTGGAGTATCTGGTGGGAAAGGGGGCGGGGAAGGTTGAGAGAGGGAAGTCCCCAGGGAGTAATTAGCATAGAAATTTAGCGATTCTAAAGAATTCTAGGTCTTGCTCTTTAATGAAGAGAAAAGGAGACTGGATTTCCATTCCATCCTCACTCAGCATCAAAAAGGCTGCAGAATTGAGGATACTTGTCCGGAAGCCAGGGCATTTCCAATGGCCTCATATACACATAAAAGGTCGACAATGAATAAGGAAGATGGCAGAAGAATTGATGTATTCAAATTACGGTGTTGTCAAAGAATATTGAAAGTTCTGTGGGGGTCTAGCCTCAGAGCCATTGCGCGTGCTAATTCTACCTCCTTTAACTTTACCTAGGTAAGCACATGGCACCGTCCTTTGCTTTCAGTAAGCCTCCACTACAAGGTCACTATCTCAGACAGACCTTTTCTCTACAACCCTCCCTCCCCATTACAAAGCAGGACCTCCTCATCACTCTACTTCATTTTTCTTCACGCCACTTAGCACCACTGACTGCCAATTATTTGTTTACTGTCTAGCATTAGAATGTAAACTTAAATGTGCTTAACACAATGGCTGGATGGATGGATGGATGGATGGATGGATGGATGGTGATAATAGTTGTACGAGCTGCCAATAAAACGAATTAAAAATACATAGAGAGAGAATGTAAACTTCTTGAAGATAGGAACATTGTCCTGATTATTGTTTTACCCCAGGACTTAAAACAGTCACTCAGCTATTTGATAAATTAATAGGAAAAATATAAAAGATCATATAATAAGAGAGAAATGATAAGGCACACACACGATACCTACAAGAAGACTGGGAATGATGGAGGGAAAAACTTACTGCAGCACCAAACTTCTGCTGGAACTGATCAATCACTGTGTAGGTTACCTCCTCTTCCTCTACAGGAGAAGACGGCTTCAGGTATATTTATCTTCCTTGGCAATCCATTAGCCGTTCCACTAACTTTGGCCATATTCATCAACTCCTGCCCCCTTGTCATTTTATTTATTTATCTCCCTTGTAAGTTTAAATATTAACATCATCCCACAGTTTCCTGTGTTGCAATGACATGCAAGTCACCAATAGGACAAACTGCCAGACAAGTGGTGGAAAATGTCTTAACTACATTAAAAGCACAGTCCATAGAGGCGGGGAGGATAAGTTGGACTTTATCAAAATTAAAAAGTCTTTAAAAGAATGGGGAAAAAACCCCACAAGACTGGGAGAAAATATTTGCAAAGCACTTTTCTCACAAAAGACATGTATATCTAGAATATATAAAGAACTCTTAAAAAATAAACTCTTAAAACTATTAAAAAAATGGGCCAAAGTGGTGAACAAGTATTTTACTAAAGATAATCAGATAGCCAAAAAGCACCAGAAAACACACTTAACATCCTTAGTCATTTGAGAAATGCAAATTAAAACCACAATTAGAAATCACCCATTAAAATTAAAAGATGTAGAAAAAAATCTCTACAATGGCCTTTTACACTCCTCTCTCAAAGTGAAGCCTTAAAACAATCGACAAAGTCCTCCTGGATCCCCCGCACCCCACCTCATCTCCTACTACAGTGGTTCTCAACCTTCCTCAGGCCACGACCCTTTCTTACAGTTCCTCATGTGGTGGGGACCCCCAACCATCAAATGATTGTCGTTGCTACTTCATAATTGTAGTTGTGCTACTGTTATGAATCGTAATGTAAATATCTGATAGGCAGAATGTATTTTCATTGCTACAAATTGAACATCATGAAAGCATAGTGATTCATCACAAAAACAATGTTATTATATATTGTGAAATATTTATGTCTAATGACAAACAAATGAAATTTTGTCTGGAAGCATGGTACAGCATGGGTAATAGTCTTCACGCTGGGTACTCGTATGTGGGCATATCTGCATATGGGCGGACTCCTAAGACCATCAGAAATATGTGTTTTCTGATGGCCTTAGGTGACCCCTGTGAAAGGGTCGTTCGACCCCCAAAGGGGTCGCAACCCACAGGTTGAGAACCGCTGTCCTACTACATTTCCTCTTGCTCTGGCTACACTAGTAGCTCCTTGGTGTTTCTTCCAGATCCTGGCTCGCCCCACTCTCGGGTCTTCGTATTTGTTCTAGCCTTGGTGGCACAGATGGCTCAGTGTTGGGCTGCTAACCTTACCATTAGCTCCACAGAAGGAAGGTCAGGCTTGGCACTCCATCAAGAGTTACAGTCTCAGAACATGCAGGGGCTCTTCCACTCTGTCCTCTGGGGTCACTATGAGTCGGGATCAACTGGAGGGCAGCAAGTATGCCCAGAACACTGTGCCCCCAGCTATCCACATAGCTTGGTCCTTCCCCTCCAGGAGACACTGTCTGTGAGGTCTCTCCCAGACCCCATACAATTGCAAAGACTGCGTGCCTTCCGCCCAAGACGCCATTCTATACACATTTGCTCTCTTAGATAGCTACCTTTTCAGTATTTGGCAATAGTATATATTTTACTTATTTACTTTATTTAAGGTCTTTTTCCTGCACAGAGCTGGACAAAAGCAGCGATTGCTTCTCCTGTTTGCTAGCCTTTCTATCTCCCATGCCTGGTCCACAATAAGCACTCAAACACTGACTAGACATGAACCACATTTCCCCCTTAATTCAGAGCCTAGAAGCAATGGCTCAGCTGAACACTGGACCAAAAAACCTTCATTCTAGGTTTTGCCAACTTTTAGGAATTCTAACCCACTGCAAAGAAAGCCTAGGAAATGGAGACCCAATCTCACCTGAAGCGTTGAACTTATAGTCATTCAGCAGGGAAGGGGTGGGTGCCTCAGGGGCAGAAGCAGCAGGCTCACATACTTTTTGGTCTTCATCTTTAATTCTCTCTATCTCGGTTCTTGCTGTATTTACACTATTTTTATAAAACAAAACTCAGATGAACTTGTTCCTTATTGTTGTTCCCACGCACAGATTTTGCCTCACCACAACAGTAAGGAATAGGCCCCATTTCAGTAGATGACCCATTTGTTTACTGCTTAAATGGACCTGAGGATACTACTTAAAGATGGAAGAAAGTATCTGCCTCTTACTTCTCATTTCTATTTCTTTGGGCCATGTTCGGAATTAAACAACTAATAGTTAGGTTGTTCTATCCTAATATGCCTATCTGAGAAACACCATAATTAAGACAAGCATGTTATCATACTTAACAGAAGATGTCTTTTCTCTCACTGCAACCTGCTCTACTCCATCCAGTAGTTCCACTGTAAGATAAACAAATGGTCTTTTAAAAGCATTCCCACTCTGAAAATAATGAACCACCCTTGTCCCGAAGGCACTGTTGGGTAAGCATTGGCCTGCTGACTGCAAGGCTGGTGGTTCACATCCAACAGCGGCTCATGGAGAGAAAAATGAGGCTATCTGCGCCCTTACAGACTTACAGCTCAGGAAAGCTACATAGCATCACTAAGAGTCAGCGTCAACTTGATGGCACTGGATTTGGATTTGTCATTTGCTCTCTCCTACCCAGTTTGATGAGGTACCTTAAATAGTCATTGGAAAGGAAATGTTGGTAAGAAATGAACATTGACCAGCAATAAGTAATCTTAGCAGAAAAGACTATCCAAAAGATTAAAGATTCCCAAGATGACTACCCTACACAGCTACCTGAGTAGCTCAGCTGTATTAGAAACCCTTCTATGAACCCCTTACTTATTTCCCCCAAGCCTATTTTGGAATACTAGTTCTGAAGGTATTTTTCTTCCCCATGCCTTCCAATCCCAATGCAGCTTGCCTCACTCTGTGTTTGGGGGTTGTCTCTGAAAGCATGCAGAGATCAATCCTTGCCCCTCTCACAGGCCCCCCACTGCCATCAAGTCAGTGTTCACTCTCAGGGACCCCGGTGGCTTTCTGAGGTTGTAACTGCCTATGGGCGTAGAAAGCCCAGCCTTTCTCCCGTGGAGCTGCTGGTGGTTTTGAACTGCTGACCATGCAGGTAACAGCCCAGCGTGTAACCATTATACCACCAGGGCTCCATTGTATTAAGAGTTTAGTGATGAACTCTGGTACATCCGTACTATGGAATACTAAGCATCCATGAAAAACAATGACAACTCTCTTAAATACAGCAAGGAGTGGGTAAAACTAGAGAACATATGCTTACCAAACACCAGTCAATCTTGCAAAGATAAGTATTTATTAACACTACTGCTATAAGGAAAAACAAAGAGGACACAGGGTTTACACACCAATAGACAAGACTGTGATGTTGGCAGAGGGAACGGAAGAGGGGCGGGATGGGGTGTTGAGGTGGGAGGGATGGGACCAGGAATGCAGGAAGAAAAAGAACCACATATATGGAGGGTTTAATAGGATATTGTTGTTGATTTCATTTCTTGAGATCAGCTAGGTAAATACAACTTTAAAAACAAATGAATAAAAACGCCCTCCAGATTCTTTATCTCTCAAACCTAAATAGTGGTCTGAGTGGCTTAAGAAAAAGAAAAAAGAAAAGTAAATTGAATTGGCCTTGGAGTCTTTAGTGACATACAAATACATCTCAAACAAATAAAAAGTTTAATGAGATGAACAAAATTTTTTTAAATCTCAGGGTCCAGGGAATGTAGGAAAATGTTGTATTTTACTGAATTTTAAACATTGTATTTCAAGATGAACATTTTAAACATTTCTGAAATTAATGGTGGTTTACAAGAAAATGTACATGACTTTTTTTGGCGGGGGTGTACATGACATTTTAATGGAGCTCTTTTTTCATTCTTAGGGTACAAAAATATAGTGCATCTTTTATAATTAAAAGCAGTATAATTCAACAAAATACATTTAGGTACTTTTCAGGGAAAAAGCATTGATTAAGACCACTATGTTTCAAATGTCTTTTCCCTTTAATTTGGCTTATTTGAAGCACAATCACTAGATGATGTTCCATATCTAGTCTCCTAGGCAAATATTTAGACCTAGTCTTGCTTAGTGTCTTCTGATGGGACAAATAAAGAACAAGGCTGCTTCTTTCCTCGTTCAAGTGCTTCTCTATAGATCCTAATAAACCTTTTGTGGAATTCCTACCACCATCAATGAGGCTCATTCTAAATATACCCTTCTTTGTCATTCTAACATGCAAAGAGTTCTGGAAAAAAATTGTAAATGTTTTTTTATAACTCTGATAGTGCCAAACCTGATATGAAATGCTATTCATAGTCATGTTTTATTCCACCTTGTACGATTATTCACCTGGGAGAAAGATGAGGCTGCCTGTTCCTATAAAGATTTACAATCTCAGAAGCCCTCTACAGAGTCTCTATGAGTTGAAATCAACTTGATGACAATGGGTTTCATTTGGTTTCTATAGGTGGTTGTAAATTATATCTATACAATTTATGAATACTATATGTGAATACATATGTACTCATAAACACACACGGCCTGCGACACATTTTTTCCAAAAAATCTAGAACAATTCTGATTCTGAAACATTTGTCCAAAATTTCAGGTAAGGGATTGTGAACCTGTACTACTAGACTCGCTTGCTTAGCACAATCCCTTCCTGCTTGGATGCCTAACTCTGCCCACTAGCCAAGTCTTGAGTGACCAGTCCTAAGGCCCTTCCATGGTCATACCATCATGATCAAAACTCTTCACAGATATCCTGCTCATAAAGTACTCACTAAAACAGAAAAAAGAGGGTCAGTTCTCAAGTACCAACTAACAGTGTATAAATGCAGTGAAAAAAGGCAAGACAGTACCCCATTTTATTTCAAATATTGGACTGAGGAAAACGACTGAGCTTACTACTACTGCAAATCCCAATATCAACATTTAGGGAATATGAAGCGCTCACCATTCATAATCTCATGTCCAAAAAACATCTTCACTCCTGGGATACTTCGACCAGTCTCCACATTCCTCACTGTTTAGAAAATAATTTGATTAATAAAAAGTAACACTTCCTGCAAAACTATAATGAAATATAACACCTCTCCAAAGTGTTCAGATTGGAGCTTTATAAAAGCCCTTAAATAATGGCTTCCCCCTCCCCAAACAATGAGCAAGTCATAAATTATAAAGCTAAAGTCTTGAAATAATGTATATTTCTCTGGAAAATATTCTTAGGTCCTTGGGGCGAAGGACCATCGTGTATTGTTTTTGCGTTCTTTTGACTCTTCCCGTTTCCTGGAAAGGAGTCCTGGTGGTGTGGTGACAGTGAGAAGCCACCACCTTAGGGGAAAGAGGAGGCTTTCCCTTCCAGAGATTCACAGTCTCAGAAACCCACCAGGGCAGTTCAACTCTGTCCTACAGGGAGGGCCCTTAGGGGTTGGAATTGGCTCGATGGTAATGACTTTGGCTTTGGGAATTCTAGAAAAATAATTCAAGGACGCTGACCACATTTAGAGTCTACACTTTAGATGCTTGAAAATATTACTAACTCCTGACCCAAACGCAGGGCTCTCCTGGGAGTGTGTGAAGGAGTAGACGCTTAGACGTCACGGCTCCGACAGCTGTCACTTTTCTAAACGGAAGTCTATAAACCCATAATATAATCCAAGTTCATAAATCCAAGATAATTTGTTCCACCCTCAATATTTTTTGGAAAACATTCTTATGAAGGCAAAAGGATTTAACACATTTGCATTTAAAAAAATACTTAATTCCCGTGCAACTCTTGACAATACTGTTTTCTCCTTTAAATTTGGCTTGCAGGGCATTCCTTTTGTTTAGTTCTTTTCCTACTCGATATCTAGAGCTGCTAAATTTAAAGCCCTCTCTGAAGCAGGCACTATGCTAATTATTTGCCCAAATTTAATTCTTCAATAGTCTAATTAGGTGCTTCATTATCCCTGTTTTATGGAAGAACCTTAGGCTCAGGAAGGTTAAATAACTTGCTGAAGGTCATGTTGCTGGTAAAAAGGTAGATTCATGGTTCAAGATCAGGCTTCCTTCAGGTCTCCACAACCTCTGTGTTCCCCTACACACTGGTACTCCCTGGGGGTTATGCCCTCTCCTGTCCTCGCTTCTCCAGAGATCACACCCACTTCCTATTTGTCGGGCCACCCATTATTTCTCCAGTGTGGACTCGTCCTTGGAGCACATTTCCCGTAACTAGTGGATAAACCTACTGTAAGGTTTTCAAAATGGAAATCCTTAGCTCCTTCCAACCAGCAAACCTGTGCTTCTTTTCATTTATATCAATGAATGGCAAGGCTGTATACCTAACCTTTTAAGTCACAAATGTAGGAGCCATTTTCCATTGTTTATGATTTAATTCATTACTCTGTTGCTGAGGTCATCTCCAAGTAGAATGGACCTTCTCCACGACTTGCTGCACCCTTAGTTAAGCGTCTGATCATCCCCCACTGTCTGTCTGAATAGTTCATCTTTCCTCCCTGCCTTGGCCATCCATCTCTCTGCTTCAATCCTTCCTTCAGATGCTTGTCCTGGGCACATGCTGCTTTGTCCACAGGGTACATAACACTAACAAACACGTATAAAGATACTTGTTTGACTTCTTTGTAAATACTTTTAAATAGCTCAAAATCAGAGCTCATCTTTTGCTTATAAAAATAGCAAAACTTAGAGACTCACTAGCATTTTCTTGAAATTAAGCTCCATTATTCATTGTGATGAGCATACAAAATTACTAGCAGCAAAAGCAAAAAGGTATACCCTTTATAAAAGGCTATTTGGAAATATGCATCAAAAGTGCTTAAAATATCCATAACTTCTAGCAACTTCACTTCTGGGAACCATCCCTAAGAAAACAAATCAAAATCCCAAATAGAAGATGAGTTCTTGAACTTTGTGCTTTGAAATGTCTACCCATTAAAAATTTAAATGCCATGAGAAAATGCTTGTGCTAGTGTGAATTAAAGAAAAATGCATGTGATGTACCAGACTTCCGATGTCAACTAGATAAAATCTGTGTAATTAAAGACTGGAGAGAAACACATCAGAATCTTCCATCTGGACGGAGTGCTTTGTGCAACAACCATGTGGCATTTACTGACTGTTGTCTACTCAGCACCATTATGCAGGCTGGCAGCATGCCCACTCTTCCTTGTAGGCAGTGGTGGTCTGGGTTGCCAGGGCCTCTGTGTCAGGTGACCACCTCAGCAGGGAGAAATATCCTTTGGCTCGTTGCCAATTTTCCTCTTCAGTCTGTAGTGCAAGCCACCAGCCATCAACTGAACTCAGCGGTGGGCTAGAAAGATGAATTTTGGATCTCTGGTGATGTTGGGAAATCATTGCTTCTTCTGTAATAAAAGGATGAACTCATAATTTATTTAAGTCACTGTAAGTGGGTCTCTGTTTCCAAAATGGAACACAGTTCCTAGTTGACATCGTATCACATTTTTTAGCAATCAACTTGAAAATTCATCCCACTTACAAATCTTTGAGAAGAGTCTTTGGACTCTTTGAGACGAGTCCAAGTACTGCATGTACATCCTTTAAAGATGCCCTTTCCGCCTTCTCCAGCTTGATTTTTCTTCACATCCTCACACTGAATCGACTTATGGTTTTCCAAACGCACCATGTTTTCGTGTCCCTGTGCCCTGGGTAGCACAGATGGGTAAGCCCTTGATTGCGACCTGAAAGACTGGAGGTATGAACCCACCCAGAGGTACCACAGAAGAAAGGGCTGGCCATTTGCTTCCAAATACCCTATGGGGCCATTCTGCTCTGCACCCGTGGGATGGCCATGAGTAGGAATCAATTTGATGGCAATCAACTCACTGACAAGATGCCTTTGTAGACGCTGCTCTTCCACTGAGAGCAGTGGCTCCCAGGGTAGACCTAGCACATCAGCAGGGTGGTCTGTAAATTCCTGGATCCCACCCCAGATCTGTAGAATCAGAAACTCTGGGGGTGGGGCCTAGCAAACTGCTTTTAACAAGCCTCCCAGGTGATTCTGTAAACATGAATACAGTTCGAGAACCACTGATTTAAAACTATCCCCTTAAGGTTCCCCTTCTTTTCCACGCAGTGATCTTCTCACCCAGACGCAGTGCTATTGTCAATTCCAACCCACGCACTCCCAGGTCTAAATTAGCAGACGCTTGGTTTTCCCCAGCAGCTGTGGATTTCATATCGTATCACACACACTTGTTTCTGAGTGTATCTCCTCACTAGACTGTTTTTTAAAGACAAGGGCCATATTATTTCTATTTGTACCCGTGACACCTAACACACTGCCTTCTGTACGAAACAATCAATATATGAACATTTAATGATTTAGTGTTGCAAAAGCTTGCGGCCAGCCCTATCCTAGCACACAAAAGCCCACCTATGTAACTAACAATCTACCAGTAACTTACCAGTAACACTAGCCTCTCAAATGCCAATTTTATGTTTCAATTTTGAACTTAAACATGATCATGCCAATAAAACATCTACCCTAGCAAGTTAATATTTCAGCCAGCTGGGGGTGGAGGTGGGAAAGTGTGTCTATTGAAATTATTCTGTCAAGAAAACAGAAGTGAGGACAAACATATCCAGTCATGTTGCAGTACTAGGGGAAAATCGCATTCTAACCTTCCTCCCACCCATTCCTTCCCTAAAGTAGGAAAAAAGCCTCCTTCCCAGTTGTGCTTGGGGCACAAAGCCATCAATCAAACGTGGCCATCAATCTATTGAAAGCAAACGAGGTGGGAGACTACAAGAATCAGAATGAGACCTCTCTTCAGGACAACAATCTTGTTAGGGTCCACGTGCTGGAGCACCCCCTCGAAGATGCCACCAAGCAAGGTGAGCTTCACCCTTCTCCACAAATTCTGATGGAGGAAACTGTAGTCATTGCTGGGATCCATGGCGTGCGGTTCCAAAAGCAGCCTCCAGAGAATCTTCTTCAAAGATCCACACGCGTGAAAATTAAAGCAATCTAGAATGTTTACAAGTTTGTTTGTTTTGAGGGAATGGGATTATTTCCCCTTTCCTCATACCTGTGAGGGACAAGAAGAAGAAAAATAAGTGAAATTAGTCTTATGACTCATTTTAGAAAGAAGATGAGAAAAGGATGCTTATAAGCGCTGATTCTAATTCACCCACGGGAAACTGAATATTGCAAGATTTGGGGCAAGAGGCTTGGCTTCTTTGTCTATAAATTAAAAATAATATCATCTTCCTTTTCTTAGCTAAATGGAACAAGTAAAACATTTAGAGTCTCTTTTAGAACTATTTTATTTGTACTAGTCTAGAAGAAAATAAACAGAACAAGTGAAAAAACCCATTTTTTTACATTGGCAAATTACTTTCCAACACACTGCAGTGAATTGTTTACCAAGAAATGGCTGGTGCATAGCCTCTTCTGGACTAATAACATTTCCGGGTTTGACATTGCTACCAACCAAACCATACGTGGCTGAGGACTATCACCATTTACATGTTATCAATCACTTCCATGATGTCATTGCTAGAGCCATTTCATTCCGCCCTGGTCACAGCTCAGACAATACCCTGTGGTGGCATCATCAACAAATGGCAGAGAGCAAACTGCCACATGCCACATACTTGAAGATTCTTGTCAAATTGGTGATGATGAAAATAAAGAAATGTGCAAAGTAAACCAAAAGAAATCCTATGTCCCCAAAATAATTATAATTCATAATAGATTTTACCATTATGTAAAGGATCTTTTTCCCCCCTTCCTTCTTAAGAATCTTTTCAAATAATTCTGTTCTTGGATGCCTTGGTAATCAGAACCCCGGCTCGTCTACTGTGGGTTAAATTGAAAAGTGGCTTACCTTTGCCACACTAGGAACACTCAATAAATGAATTTTGTAATTTGTTCAACTTATAAAACATTGATGAAGCAACTAGGGCCTGATTTAACTAGAAAAAGGCTGGGAAGTTACAGAGCAGTTTGCCAGACAAATAACTTTTATTTTTATGACACTTTATGGTCTCTCAAGTGCTTTCACCAATATAATTTCATTTGATCGTTACAATAGCCATTACCTAATTTACAGCGGATGAAACTGAAACACACCTGCTCAAAGACACACAGCCAGAAGATAATAAACCTACACCAGAATCAAGCACCTGGTTGGGGGATGTGTATATTAAGCCCACGGATCAGACTTGGAGAACAAGAAGGCACCAAGAACAGAGGCGCATGTAAGGCTCAGTGTCAGGCAAAGCGGAAGCCCCCAGAGTGTCTGCGAAAGCTGTGTCTTTGCTCACTTTCACCCAAAAGGCAAAGGAAGAAACCTTTACAGAAACAAGGGCCTAAACCTGGAGAAACCTAGAGCAGAGGATGTCAGTGGTACAGAGGGGAACTGGAAACACAGGGAATCCAGGGCGGCTGATCCCTCAGGACCAGTGGTGGGAGTGGTGATACCAGGAGGGTAGAGGGAGGGTGGGTTGGAAAGGGAGAACAGATGACAAGGATCTACATATAACCTCCTCCCTGGGGGAAGGACAACAGAAAAGTGGGTGAAGGGAGACGTCGGACAGTATAAAACATGACAAAATAATAATAATTTATAAATTATCAAGGGTTCATGAGGCAGGGGGTGGTGGGGAGGGAGGAAAAAAATGAGGAGCTGATACCAAGGGCTGGAGCAGAAAGAAAATGTTTAGAAAATGATGATGGTAACAAATGTACAAACGGGCTTGCCACACTGGATGTGTGTATGGATTGTGATGAGTAGTACGAGCCCCCAATAAAATAATTTCAAAAAAACCTGGAGAAACCAGTCATTAATGGGAAAAAAAATCACGTATAGTCTCAGAAGGTAACTAAAAAAAGTTTGTGAAATACTTAGAAAACACAGAAATTAAACAAATGTTAAAGGACATCAGAAAGTTTTCCCTATCCTATTTGAAATATAAAAAGAAACTCCTGTGGGTTATATAAGGGCAGATTCGAAATGTCGTTCAACACAGGCAGGCAGGTTTCACTAGGTGAGTCTAGATCCGACCAATCATAAGGCAATTGCGACAATTGCGTGAGACTACAACTTTGGCCCTCAAGAAACGTAGAAACAAAGTCGCCAAAGCCCGAGGTAGGAAAAGTTTAAACCTAGGAGGGTAAATTGACCTCGGGCAATTTGCTAAAATACTGAGTTATCAAGTACGTAGGTACGAAGTGACCGTGGTCAAAAATGGGTTTTTCCATATCTCAAATCAAGTTGAAGCCGCAGGAAAAGAACTGGTTCACCTGAAATAGTGTTAGCAGGTGGTTGTTAACGTATTCCAGGAAAACAAACAAGAATACGCCATAGGCTCAGATGCCAAATTCACTTTTAAGACAAAACACGAAATTTCAAATAAATAAATAAATTTCAAAAAAATACGCTCGATTCACTTCCTTCAGCCCTGAGGGTTTCCTTTCGAAGCAAGTTTGAGAAACCTTAATCCTAATTTCAGCCGAACGGTGAGTTCCTTACATTTCAGACTGGAACTGAAAATAAAAAGAGACTGCTGTTAAAGAAGAAACTTCGGGGGCCACCGGGCCATTCAGTGGTTGTTATCCAATGATAGTCCTGAAACAAATGGAAGAAAAGTACTGGGTGCGGCACCCAAACCACCAAAGGGGACGCAGCCCTCCACCCTCACCCACTCACCCACTCACCACCCCACCCCCGGCTTCCTGGGCGACCGTTTCCCGCAGAGCCAATCAGCGCAAGGGACCCAGGCTGGTTCGGGAGTGCCCTCAGGGGTCCCGAGAAGAGAGGACCGCCTAAGAAAAAAAAAAATGCAATTCCCAGGAGGCACTTCCTCTGGGGATATACCCTACACTTGTCCTCCTGCATCTTGTGGTCTATTTTCTGTGGTTTCTCTTCTCAACCCTCGCCATCTAACGGGTGGGAGGGAGTCCGCTGAGACACGAGGTCCGCTGCACGTTCGTACATTGCCGGGCAGCGGGCCCATGGCGTTGCCCTTTTAATTGCAAACGTTAGCACCCGGAAGGCATTGCCGATTTAACGCCGGCGGGAGCCGAGGCTCCAGGGGCGGAGTCTGTTCGGAGTCGGACTGGGCGGGCGCCTGGCTGATTTATTCCGGGACTGGGGGTGGACATCCCTACGTCGGCGCTTACGCAAGGCGTAGCCTCTCTCTTGATTGGCTGGCCATGGGTCCGCCCTCCTCCGCACACCGCCGCTGGGTTTTCTCCCAGGTCTGCTGTGGAAGCACTGCCCTCTCCCTTCGTGACCCCTAGCCTTTCCTCCCTACCCTGCTTCCCTCCCTCTCTCGCTGTCGCTTCAGGCGCCGCTGCTCCCGGCGGAGCTCCCGGCTCGGGGATGGGGTCGCGGGCTTCCACTTTATTGCGGGACGAAGAGCTGGAGGAGATCAAGAAGGAGACTGGCTGTGAGTTGGGGCGGGGTGTGGGAACGCGGCCGGGCGCCGGCGGAACTCCAGGGAGGTGGTCGCCGAGGTCTGGAACAGGGTGCCCCTGAGGTGTTTGGCCGCCAGCGCTGGAGCTTCGAGGGCCCGACGGCTGAAGGACCTGTTCTTCCCGTTGCAGCTCCCCAGCTTGGGCTCTGGTTCCTGTGGGGCCGTCTTTCCACTCGTAGACCGGAGTATCTGTCACCCGCACGGCATGGCACCCCTCTTCTCAGACCTCCTCCCACTTCCCATCAAAGCCCTCCTTTCACGTATCTTTTCTCATACCGCCCTCCTGTACAGAGGCCTCTGGAATTGTAGGTAAAGCCCCAAAACCAATCCCAGGAACTCTTGATAGATCCTGTAAAGAACATCGTCTGTTTCCGTGCCCTCTGGGCCAGAATCAAAAACCACTCACTTCTATGGGAAATCACCAGCAGGTTCTCGCCTTAAACTGGAAAAATAAACCGAGAAACCGAGACCGTGTAGTCAGGGTTCAGGAGACTTGATTTGGTGACATGATGGCAGGAGGCCTTTAAAGTATCTGGGATCTGAGGATAGGAGATTTTGGAGAAAAAGTTCAAATACCACGACTATTAGTTTTCTGCCTACGTTGAGGATGCATGTAGACCTAATTTCAGATATATCGATAATCTGCTCTGATGTTGTACTTTATGCAGTCTCTATTGAAATTGGATGCGCTCCAGAAATCTCAATTGATTATTTTTTTACAGTCCACTCTCTTCCTCATTCGCTTGAACTAGGGAACAACAGGATGAGTACTTTCTCAGTAATCATCTATGAAGTCTTGTTGTTTAAAATGAGTTTGTGATCCCTGCCTTGGATAATGGAGTAACTTAATAGGCCACATGCAGATGACACTAAGGAGTCCTGGAACCACAATCACTGGAGCCATTAAATGCATTCTGTGCTTTCTGACAAGTTCAGCTTTCAAGAACCTGGAAGGGCCATCATCTAGCCCACCCCCTTGTTAGATTGGTTTACCAGTACTTCTTTCCGCATCCCCTAACCTGTGGCCAATTAGTCTCTTCTTAAAAGACCTTTAATGATGAGAGGACCAAGGCAGTCCTTTTCATAATTTAGGATGAATGACAGACTGTAACTTGCTACTTATAATAGGCAGTAAGTAGTTGGCCACATGCCTGTACAGCCAACTTATGACTTCCTTCAACTCTAGGAGTAGAAATATAGCAAATATTAGTACATTTTGGTGCAAATATTAGTACACATTTAACAAATATTTGTACATTTTGGAGGCCATTACTGCTTGCCACACATACAGTAACTTTTATATTAGGGGTGACACCAGGATTAAAGAATGCTTGCTTAAAATAGTCAAATAACGAAGTATAAATCATAGTGAGGAGAAGAGAAAGCTCTTCTTGTCTTAGAGCGAAGGGAGCAGTAATCCAATTCTTGTTCATTTCTATTTGGCTAAATGACAAGAACCTGGATCACTATAGAACTCCTAGTTATTTTCCCTTTAGACTATCAGAACTGAATACTGTTGGAAGAGCTATTTTCCCAGTAGCCACAGATGGATTCAAGCATGATTTTCATTCACTACCAGTGCAAATGTCAAGATGGAGCCAAAGACCTAGTGCAACAGTATTGATTGCAGTGACTGGTCAATCCTGTATCCTCTGAAGATGGTGATAAAAGATGGCACAGCTCATAAGAAAATGTGGTGAAGAAAGCTGATGGTGCCCGGCTATCAAAAGATATAGCGTCTGGGGTCTTAAAGGCTTGTAGGCAAACAAGCGGCCATCTAGC